GRWKSCCCMRCCCYGGAAACATTCAAGGCCAGGTTGRGTGGGGTTTGAGCAACCTGGTCTAGTGGAAGATGTCCCTGCTCAGTGCAGGGGAGTTGGACTGGATGGCCTTCAAAGCTGCCTTCCAATCCAAACCTCCAACAATTCTGAGAATCTGACACTCTCAGATGAGCCAGGTTACCTCTCCAGGCAGAGGGAAAGCAGCGAGCCTGCAGTGCTGCTGCCCTGGGTGCAGTGTAGGGCAAGCTGCAGTTTCCCCAGAATGAAGAGCAATGTTTACCACACACAAAAGCAGAAGAGCTGCTTGCCTGGCCCAGGAGCTCCTGGTAGAGCTGGGTCAAGGGCTGCTTAAGCCATCAGTTTCTCAGTGGGTTGTGCTGACAGAGCAGGGCAGGAGTCAAACAGTGTGGGCTGAGGTGGCTCAGGCTGGGGCTGAAGTCTGGTAGCGGAGTTGAGTGGCCTTAAAAAGAGTAGATTGGCCACCCTCAATGTCACAAAATGTAAACATGTGCAGAATAGCATGTTTCCTCAAGGAAACCTCAAGGTTGCTGTAAAATCTATAAAAGGTTAATTTTTTGGCTGACAGCCTGGTCCTCAGAACCTGCAAAAATGTTTGCTTTAGTTTTCAAGTCACAGTGCATTGTTCAKTTTCTACAGCTGTCTCCTCTCTTTGTGTGCTTTTGTCCCTGACGTGCTCAAGGATGTCTTGAATTGTGCTGACATAAGGGACAGGAAGGTAAATTGTCKGTGAGAGATAACAACTTTATGCATGACCACTGTGAGGGTTTCAAACCACCAGTGCCCAGGGCTGGGTTCCTGAGAAAGATGGAGTTTGCAAAGAAAAACCAAACAAACAAAGAAAGCAAACAAAAAACCCCACTACTGATGTCTCTGTAAAAATGACATCATTTCCTTTTTCCCTTGGGTGTTTTGAGTGTTTTCCCATTGCCCACYGATCATCCAGCCCAAGGCTGGGCAGCTGCTCCAGTACCTCTGAAGTAGTGAATGCATGCTTGTGTTTTTTCCTTTACCCTTTCCTTATTCTTCACCAACCCATGAACTGTGCCTCTGCACAATGTTTCCAGGTCTGAGAAGTAGACTTGGGATTATTCTGGGTGACTTTTTCCATCTCATGCCATGCCATGTGCCTGCCTGCTTCACTTGTGTGTCTCTGGGCTGCTGCTCTGCTAACTAAAATGCTGTTTGATTGAAAAGCATAGTGGCAGCTACTCTCAAACAAGATGTCAAGGAAGAAAGTGCAGGATAATTTTAGAAGCTAAGAGGATGTATTGTGGGGTTTTGTCTGGATTATTTTTCCTTAACATGCTTTAAATTTAGCAGTAGAATCAGCACTGAACAAGAACTTGCATGTTGATGACCAGTGTTTTTTTCACACAGAAAAGGCCTAAAAGTCTTCCAGCTTCAAGTTGAAAGCACTTAAATTGGTTATTTTTGAGACCATGTTCAGTGAGTATCCTGGGAGACGGTAATAATGTGAACTTGATGCTTTGAGTCACTCTGCCTGCAAGAAGGAAGTCTGGCCACCTGGGCAAGCAGAACTGGGAAATAAAGAATAGGACTGCAGCCCCAGCCTTACTAATCTGGGTTTAGGTAGAGGAAGAGGAAGAGATGTATTTCCCTACTAATTGCACCCTAATAAATTACTTCTGGAAAACAATGTAGCTGAGTATAGTGGTTGACAAGAGAAAGTTTCCCACTCCTTACATGAGACAGAGATTAAGCAGGTTGGTCTTTGGCTGATGAAGTATGGATCAGACAGATTGCCTGCTCTGGCAAGAGTTTCTTAATGTAATTTGGTAAGGAAATACACAGTGAGAGAATTATTTATATTTTATTTTATCAACTCTTAAAATGTTCCTGATTTCAGCTTCTTTCCTCCTGATTTTGTCCTTCTGTGTTCAGGCTCTGTGTACTGTGCAGACCAAATTTTTCYGAGAAATGTTAATCTGTTATTAAACTTGGGCAAGAGAAAACTCTCCACTGTGGGATGAATGTTGTGCCTAACAGTCCAAAAAAAATAGCTTATTATGCCTTTGTTTTTTTTGCATGCAAACAGCACTTCCATCTATGGGAAAAATCTCAYTCCCAGAAGGAGTAGGAGCTGTGTYTCTGCTCKGCAACCTGGATRTTTTCCCTCTTCCATCTGACAYAGCTTTRCATGTTAATCTAGCAAATATGAAGAACCTACAGGTGAAATTAACCCTAGAAAGCTGTAGGGKCACCCTGAAAAATTGTTATGCTAAAACCAAGGAAGACAGAGCCATTGAGAAAGATCAGATGTGGAAATCTCTAATGGTGCATGTAAGCAGCTAACTGAATCAACTGGAAGAGATTTCTGGTTTCCTGGAAGAAGTCCTCAGGACATTTTCCTCTTGTGTTTAAAGTGAGGTTTCCTGCTGCAAGGTCTTCTTTCCTCAGACTTTTCTGTTTTAGTTGAAAAGTTGATATTTTAATATAAGAGAGAACAGAAACTGCACAATTGTTTCTTCTGTTTGTTAGGACCTTTACGAAGTCTGAAAATTTGAGGGGTTAAGTGGTAAAAAATAGGCATGACCTTTTCTGTCAGCCTAATTTGTACATGTGGATAATATGACAAATTATTCAATACTAGCAGTAAATCCTCTGCTCAGTTGTTTAACTCTACTCTTGAAGTAGCCCAAGCAGACTCAGTTTTATATCCTTGCTTTGTAAATGTGTACAGAGTGGCTGTTTGGATGTTGTGTGTATAACCACACAATGTTATGGAGTGGGCTTAGGCAGGCACAGCTTTCATGTAGTTAGTATTTTGTATTTCTAACTGGTTGTACTGGTACACATTTGTTAGCCTTTCCTGCTGAAATATTTGGGAAAGAGTTTTAGAATTAAAAACATTTATATCCCTTTGAGTAAATAATTGGCTTGGAGCTGTTTCTCAGAGTAAATTTCCCTGAACAGACATTTGGAGAAATCTGTCCCATTTGAGAATTCTGTCCCAAAACACTGACTGCTTTAGTTCAGATATGGTATGATTTAGCTGTTTACGGAGCATTTTCATCTGCTGGCACACGTATATATTTTTGAAATTAAGAGTTTATTCATCTTGTGTAGCAGTTACAGTGTAAATAATGTTGACTGGAAAATACTGCTTTGCCATTTTCACTGCCAGAATTTTTGCTTCCAAAAATAGGAGAAGTATAAACAACTTTGTATAAACAAAGGTTTTTTGCCTTTCTCACTGAAATGGCAGAAGGTACTTTCTGTGGAATACATAACAACACCGGACTACAGGGCAGGAGAGGAGCTGCAGCAAGTAGCAGACATGATAATGGGAATTACAGAGGATTGCAGGGGAGAAAGGGTTTACTTTTGTGAAGAGGAATTGAAGGAGACCACTTTTTTCTGTCATGGAGAAGATTTTGATGGGAGAAAAAGTCAGAGGCCAGCTGCACTTTGAAGTACAGGAGAGCCCCTCCCTCTGGAAAGTCTGTGGTTACAGAAAACTGATGCAGGACTTCAGATTTTTGCTGCCTGTATGAACTCGCCTGTTTCCAGGTGGTTTCTGTGCTAAAACATCCYAAACCAGACCCACACAAATTCTCATATGTACAAGATGATTTCTGTGTGCTTGGTTTTAGTTCTAGAAATGTCATTAGTTCTAGATAATAGGATCAAATAGAAATATGTAGAAATACAGATATTTGGGTTTTAGTCTTGCAGAAAAACTGAAAGAATTCTCCAGATTCCTTCTCGGGGCACATGTAGCCATATTTTGCCCTCTGTTTTAAGATGAGCATACATACATACATACAGGAAACTAATACCTTACTGTGCCATTTGCTGCCTTCTGTGGTAAAATCCTGAGATTACTCCAGCTTTAACTCTAAGTAGCTTTTTTCCCTAGACAAGATCTTCTACTGATAAACAGAATTACTTGTATATTCAGAAAATTAGGGTTTGGTTAATATTTAAGCAAGGAGCCTTCACATTCTAGAAAGATAAACTGAGGTGACGGACAGAATTAAAGGGTCTGTGTGTATCTTGTTCCCACCTTGTGGTGTCCTTGCTTCCAACAGTTCTCTGTGTGTGCACTGAGTCCAAGTTATCCAAGATATTTTGGCTTGCAGTAGGAAAATGTCTGATTTTGCTACTTATCAGAGATCTTAGCCTTTCCTAGTAGGCATTAGAGAAATACTCAGTACACTGGGTCTCCTGTGAAGAAAATACATGAAAATAGAAAATGCAATGCTAAAAGAAAGATATGCGACATAACCCAGTTGTGTAAATCCAATGAGTTTAGGCTGGAAAAAATCTTTTGGTGTTAA